ATTTATAGCAAGTGAAATAAAATGAGTGTTTTTCATACATTAGAATTTGTTTAAATTTTTAAAATCAATCAACAATATTGAATCATTTAGAATAATTTTGAGCAACTTAGAATAATTACATAGAAAAGTAAATTTATTTTTAACTTATGTATTAATAATTGTTTATTTAACATTTCTTTATCATGGATTGTTTATTAAAGACTGCTTAAGCTTTACAAAAGAATACACACATCCATAGATGTGTTGAAATATTTCTCCACAAAAGAATGGATATTTACTAATGATCGAGTACGCGAGATGATTGCAAAGTTCACGTCCAATGATCGTAAAAATCTTTGATTGCGATATAAAGAATATCAATTGGAAAGTTTACTTCAAGATGTATATACGAGGATTGAGAGTGCATCTCATTAAGGATCCCCTGGGTACTCTGCCGCAAGCACGCGTTAAATGGCAAAGGTATGACATTTTTCAAAATTTTTTCAAAAAAAATTATGCAAAAGTTTTTCTTTACTCATATACTCGATAATAAACTAAAAATAATCGTTTAATTTTTATTTGCTTTTATAAAAATTTATATACATTTATTTCCGAATCCCAATTATGACAAAAATTCGTTCCATAAAAATATTGCAAAATTTTTTTGTGTCCAATTTGAACAGAATTTAAGTCATATTTTTGAAACTTTATTTTACATTTCTGCGTTCTTCATAAATATAATATTAAATATAGTACTCTATGTTTAATCTTTTATTATCCAATTAAAAAATTTTTCTAAACTTGTGGATTATTCATATTACAGATTGTATTGGTGCCATCAAGCGTTAAAACTCGTGTTGATTTTGATTGGCATGACGTTCTGCTGGTTCATAATATCTATGGTCTTTAAATGTTTCAACGAAAACAAATGACGCAGAGACGGTACAAGTAGTAGGTAAGATCTAAAATCCAAGATATGCGTTTTGAAAATGTGGGAATAAACAGTAGAAATTAATATTTTATTTTTAAGAAAAAAGCACGACTACATTCTTTCGCAGAGAATTGTATTGAAAATAATCGTCATAATTATATGTATAAAGCAGAAATTTAAGTAACGAGTTTTGATATACACATGTTAAAAAGAATACACCAGAAAAATATAAATATGCAATTAATCAGATTTTATTAATAGAGTAATACAAAAGATTCTAATTTTTTTATCTTGAATAATATTACAAATCTTTAATTGACAATTCAATTAATTTAAAATCAAATTTCTTCAGTACAGCGCACTGTTCCAAAAATACAAATATAGATTTATGTCATTTGTTTATTATGTAAATATTAATTTAGTCTTCTTTGATAACTGTTTTCTGCTTAAAACTATTGCGATAATATTTTCTTCGAGATAAAATCGATATCGTACATCAGTTACATCATTAAAACAGGATGTAATAAATATTACATTTTTATTTATACTTTTTTACTTTATCTGATAAAATAGGATTTACTTTATAAATATTTACTTAAAAAAATCAAAATGCTGTAATTTTAGCAAATAAATATTGAAATAATCACGTGGATCATTCAAAAATGTTCCTTGTTAGATTAAAAAATTTTGGTAAGTCTTTCATGAATTTTGTTTACCGACTTAATTGTTCTTAACTTAGCTAACGTTCGCGGCTACGATCGAGTGGAGATATTAATGGACGTGTTTAGATTCCCGCCTTGCACATCACTTCACATTTATTTATTATAATCAAGTTTTTAACAAACGAAAACGTGAAATCGACCGAGGACGCAAGTCTTTACATGGCACTTTTTTCTTAAAATCATGTATGTTTGATACCCAACCCTTGTATACATGTATAAAGTTCGTGTTATATATAGCTATCGTGCAGATTCAGAACCACAGTGGCTAGGCCGGTTCTCTAAAAGTAAAGAACTTGATAATGCGTTGCACAACGCCACTAGGTACTGCTTGCTCGTTCATCGTGTTTTTTAACTGTAATTAATAAACGAACGAATGCAAGGTGATGTGCGTGACAAGAAGGTAGTCTAGATACGTCCATTAATATCCTGCACTCGATCTCAGTCGCGAACGTTAGCTCGTTCAGCAATAAGAAAAAAAGTTTGGTTTATATTTGATTGACCCTCGTATTATATTGTATTATTAGAACCATGCAATTTTAATTTTACAATTTTATGCGTGTTATTTAATAAGCACTGTATCTTTTTTTTTTGCTTACATAAAATTTTGACATATTCTTTCTTAAAATTACTGTCCAGTCACTTGTCAGTTAAAACACTGTCTCCTAGCACGGAGAATAAGACACTGCAGAACAAGAAACTCACATCAATCTCAATAACAAATCCTCATAATGGGAAGTACTTAATGTCTGCCCAGCTAGCCCACCTCCTCGCCTCCCCCCACCACTTTGCGTCAATTCAATAAAAAAGTTAAATAAATTGTTAAATAAATTATGCGCTAATTATGCCCTCACCAAATCTACAAAGAAAAAATTTTGTGCTTTTTTAGTATAGCAAAAAAAATTTTTTGTGGGGGGGGCTGCCAGGAGTGGACAACCAGTGAGCTTCCCCATCCATTAATAACACATATTTAACTACCAGAACTTTTACTGAGAGGCAAACCATTAATATTCACTAACAATACTATCTTATTAAAAAATTTCCCTGTCGGCGAACACAACTTCTTAACTGCATTTGCTAATACAAGGTGCGAGTACAAGCCTAATTCGACGACTTTGAAAGTTGTCTGTCTAGATGAAGTCAATAGCGATCTGGGATCATTGGATAAATATGAGAATCCTGAAGAGGCTTTCTAAGGTTCTTTCTAAGGTTTTCAGCAATAGTAACAGATTCCTTGTAGTATTGTTTTGGTACATGACAAGTCACTATTAATGTACACAGGTTAATTAAAAATCTATCTTCCAGCACCGCTATTAGCCGTTGCAATATCTATATCAGTAGATTTGTAATCAGAAACAGCGTCATCATAATCATGATAAAATGCATTATCTAGACTAGCGCTCGGAATTAGTTGCACTGTGCAACTTGCACATTTCGGGCCGATTCAAGAGACGACGCCTCCTGTTTCCCCACTATCGCCCGGCCGCTGGCGGCCGAGCCGCCGATAGCTCTGGCGCAGGAGCGTTTTATATAAGAAATATGCTGGGTTGTTGAGGCACCTCTCAGAAAAGAGTAATATTTTCTTTGCTACATAAATAATGTTTATTTCATTAATACAT